TCGCGCTGTGATCGATAAATAAAAATAAAGCGAAAACCTTACCCTAACCCCCCCAAACCTAACCCTAACCCTTAACCTAACCCTAAACCTAACCCTAAACCTAACCGTTAACCTAACCCTAAAGCTAACCCTTAACCTAACGCTAAACGTAACCCTAACGCTCTAAACATAACCCTAACCCTTAACCTAACCCTAACCCTAACCCTTAACCTAACCCTAACCCTTACCTTTATGTGAATCGGCTTGCTTTAATTTTATTTTTATTTCAATTTTTAATTTTTTTCGTCGTGCTGTAATGACGTCAAATGGGCGCTTTCGTCGAGCGCGGTTTTGTGGACCGCGGTTTTGACGGGTCACAGGTTTATTTTAAGATTGAAGCATCAGCAAACTTGCAAAATTATGAAGATCCTTCAACAAGCAGATGGAAAATAATCTTTTATACAGAATGTTGCATTTTTATTAGGAAATGTTATATTCGCTATTATTTATTCATATAATACTGTACGGATTTTGCAAGAGGAGCCATCCTGAGGGCTCATCTTTTTCCTTCTGAAGACAGTGCTAATATATGAATATACAGACATTCAAAATAATTAAAAAATATGTATAATAAATAAAAACATTTTTTTTTAAAAAAATGCCAGTACACATCTTCATAAAGATACAATCAGGCAAGAAACACATTTCTGAAAATCCACATTTGTTTTGTTTTTATTTGGACTGACACATTCATTGTATGTCACAACTTCCACTGATCAATGAGGTTTGTAAAAAAACGAAATTAAAAAAAAAACCTGGCACTTGCCAGCAGCGCAATGGGATTTATATCGGAACATTATAACGAGGCATTAAAAATGTTTACTCTCTTGGTCCATAACTCCCCAGTTCCCACCCCGAGCCCACCCCTTCTCACAGCTTTGATTGTGTTTGATAAAAGCATGATTTGATAAAATGCTTCTCAGCGGCTGAGTTACTTTCACTGCCACACAGAGATTAACTAAAGATTTCTTAAAAGGCCCATGGATGATTTTAATGTAAACAAAACATAAACCAAATTTTTTTTTTAAAAAGGTGATATGGCAACACTACTAGTAAAGTGGGGTACATCACAGAAAGAGAAGTTTTTGCAGGCAACACTGGTTGAAAGTTGTAAGAACACTTGATGGGTGAAGAAACCGAAATGCTAAATTATATACAAGAGGTGCTAACGGTGGCACTGAAAATCAGTCTTGTGTGACCGGGTTTTAAACTCAGTTAATCTATTGCTTATTTATTACATAACCATAATCACACTTGAGACACATGTGTAAAAATGAGACATTGTGGAAAACAGCTTTTTCGTATGAAATTTAACATGTACGTTCATCCAACGTGGAGTGTATCAATAGTCATCGTATTTACAATGCTCCCTTTGAAAGTCCTTTTCTTTATAAAACCATTTGGCTGGCCCAAGGAAGTAAACAGCATATTTTACTGGCGTGAGAAACACTTTTGTAAAATCCCCTATAAGTGTTCTCCTCATTTCAGTTCGGTTAGAGCAGTTGATTTTTGCCCAGTCTTGCACTAAGCAGATGTCCCAAATGCCACAGGTGATACTTACAATGTCCTGATCCTTATGAAGGATGAAAGTCAGTTGTTAAATTTCAAAGGATATCCAATGGCTTTTTCCAGGCACTCGACCAAAGAGCCAGCAGAAAGGAAGTCCCTCTCCACTTCTACAAATTTAATGTAAATAGACTTAGGAGAAATCCCTGGGTCCACAATACAGTTTTGTGATAAAAATCCATTGATGCCAACCCACTCTTTGCTGAAGGTTTTGGTGTTGGCCTGGAAGTGTAAAAACAAGCACTGTTGGAGAGTTCTGACCTCGGCAATGCCAAGGTAACAATAGATGATTCTGGTGGGCTCCATCTCCACTTTGAGGGAAGCCTGTGACAACGGCATTTCGGTTTCTCCCGGAGTCTCGTTTTCAGGTTCTTGGCTGATGCTCTCGTGATCAGGAGATGGTGGCTTCTCGTGACAGTCTTCATAGCCGATGGCATACAGACCAGGGCTCTTTGGAATGCCTCCAGGTAACAAATACTGGACAATATTTCCACCCGTTGGCTTGGAGTGAGCAATAGGTATCCAGTCAATTTCCATGTGCAACTCTAGGCATCTGGCTTCACTGATGGTAATCTCCAAGAATTTGTAATAAACGTTCTTCCAGTTCATTTTCTGCACTCTGGTCATGATGATCCTGCCCTCGGGCTTCTCAGAGTTGAAATATTCCCGGAGTCGCTTGCCAAGGGGAACTTGGGAACTGATCTCAGCGTAATGGTAACGGATATCCTCCTTCCACCGTGTATTATAGCCAATCCCGAATATAGCCAGTTTGTTCGAAAGGTGTAGCCTAGAGAAGTCCGCCCAACTCTGAAAGAGTTCCCATTTTAACTGGACGGATTCCAAGATCTGTACAATATTCTGCATTAGGTCGCGCTTCCTTTAAATAAGAAAAGAACAAAACACAATGGGACTAAGTTTTAAGGTGGGAAATTAAGAAAAAGAAGGAGAATGCAATCACAAAATTCCAATGGATGTATAAACAGGCCTGTCATATGCTAAGGACAAATAGCTGCTAGAAAAATTCACAATAGTGTCTTAAATCCTTATAGTATGAAGCAAAGAGTTTGCTTAACAACAATGGTGTTTGTTTAACAAACATGAGCCATGTTAAGCGCTTTCTTTGCCTGCAAAATGGAACCAATTCCATTTATGACCTCTCTAGTTTGGGAGAGGAAAGACTGATGCCTGGAAACCGGAGAGAAGAGAACTGTCCATATGGAGGATGCTGAGCAAACTGAACCAGCAGTCTGATTTTCTTAAGGCACTGTCATCGTTAATCCGTTGTGGCAAACACAAGTATGAGTTATGGCCATAATGGAGCTTGCCTATTATGGTCATAAGTCACGACTGTCAATCCAATTTCACGACCTTTTTTTGCGGTGATTGTTAAGCAAACATTTCAGCTGTTAAACAAATCCTGCGGTCGTTAAGTAAACCCCACTATTCACTATGCCAGTGTTTTTCAAACTTTTTGTGCAAAGGCACACTTTTTTCATGAAAAAAATCACGAGGCACACCACCATTAGAAAATGTTAAAAAAAATTAACTCTGTGCCTATATTCACTATATATAAAGTAATTTTCCCACGGCACACCTTACACTATGTCACGGCACACTAGTGTGCCGCGGCACAGTGGATGAAAAACACTGCACTATGCCACTGTAAAATGGTCAAGTGATAGCAGGATGCTACAAATGGCCGTAAATGGGTCCGTGTTGCCAAGCATCCAAAGTGCAGTCATGTGACCACAGGAGGAAGTACCGCTGGAACTTCCGGTTAGAGGTGTGTGTGTGTGGGGGGTTGGGGTCCATCAAACCTTTGAATGATTCCTAAGCAACCAGTCATAAATCGAGGACTACCTATATTCTGAGAAGCAATGGGAACTTCTACATTTTTGTATCTAATGCAACTCCTAACAAAGCACAATCTTCTAAAGAAAACCATTGTTGTGTGGTGATTAAGGATCTGAATTAAGACCAGGAAAACCCAGGTTGACGCCTCAGCTAGGGAAACTGGGAGCCATGGAAACTTAACTCTCAGCTCAACCTATCTCACACATCTGGGAAGGCTCCTATTCTGTCTAAATACTGAGACATGCAGATAGGCTTTCATTCAGTTCCTGCATTCCGAAAACTGCAGCTATGAAATAGTCAACATTTGCAAAGCCATTCAAGGTATACATGCAGTTACCAGACACTGCAACTTTCCAAGGATATTTCAACAGCACGAGTTTGTATTTTATCTGGTTCAGCTGGAAAAAAACTGAGACCGTTGTATTACCCTTGAAAAGTGCAGATACTTTCAGAATCTTAATTTCCATTCAAGACACTTACTGAGAATCTTCTGAAGATTCTTGTTTTATCTTCAATGTTTTCTTCACTGCCGGCATTTCATCTAAAAGGTAAAGCAGAGGTTAAAATAATTCATAACAACTGAGCCTTGTTACTTTAAAAGGCAATTTATAGCCCAATTATAACTGTGTCCAATTTCAGTATGAATACAGGCATCATTGTAGTTTATTTATTATTTATTTATGTATTAAACTTTATTGACTGGACAACACCAGTGGGTTTCTGGATGGCATATGAAACTAAGAATAATTTAAAAACAGCTAAAAATATTGAATCACCCAGACAGTCCAGGCTAAAATAACAATAGCAATAGCACTTAGACTTATTTACAGCATTACAGCCCTTTCTAAGCAGTTTACAGAGTCAGCACATTGCCCCCAACAGTCTGGGTCCTCATTTTACCCACCTCGGAAGGATGGAAGGCTGAGTCAACCTGAGTCAAAATAATCTAATACATGGCAAAACAACACAAAACAGGGGCTGTTGAACAAATATTAAATGTCAACCCCGTGCCTGGGACCCAAACCAGTTTTTCAAAGCTTTCAAGAGCCTTTGAGAGCATGCGTGTGCGACCCCCAGGCACGGGAGGAGGGATTTTCGCCGTCTCCAGGCTCTGGAGGCTTTCCTAAAATCTGGGGAAGATGACAATGGCCCAGCCTTCCGGAGGGCCTCTGGGGCCATTTTCGCCCTCCCTAGGCTTCAGGAAAGCCTCTGGAGGGCGAAAAACGGCCCAAACGGAAATTCAGGAACAAACTTCCAGTTGGCTTGTTGGGCCTGTTTTTTGCCCTCTCTGGGCTCTGGAGGTTTTCCTGAAGCCTGGGTAGGGCAAAAACAGACTGCCCCAGCTTTCCAGAAGGCTGAAAATCAGTTTCCGGAAGGCTGAGGGCTGCCGTGCTGGCAAATATGGCTCCAGGGGCCACCTGTGGCACACGTGCTATAGGTTCATCATCAGGGCCCTATGCCATACTGGGATTTATAGGTAACTAAACAACCCGTGCCCTGTTAGATCATTGTTTCAGAGATATTTCTTTATCTAAACAGAGAAATATAATGACCAAGGGTGAGCAGAAAAAATGCAGGGGGAAGAGGAGGGACTTCTAACTTCCTGCCAGCTTCCCCATTGAGTTTCCTTGTGGGACTCTGGCAGGGAGTATCGGAAATTTCCCTTCCCAAGGAGAGTTGCTGCCACAGGGGAGGGGAGGGAAAATAAGGCATTGTGAGACTGGCTGGGAAACTGTAGCTGAAAATGAAGATTACATGACCGCAGCATCCCATCCGCAACCAACAGCCCTCAACAGCAACAATTTCCCCAAATCTCATTCCCTCAGGAGTCACAGGTCTTGGATTTTGCATCCATTCTGTAAGTTAGCCCATTTGAGGTACCTTGGTTCAAAAGCTATTGCCCTAGGATGCACTGTTTCACCCAATTGAAGGTTGTGACAATGAGAGTTTTAGGTTGTATATTGATAGATAACCAGCACCTTGAATGGCACTTAGAAGCCAACTGGCATCTGATGCAGTTGGTGTTGCAGTGGTGACAATGAGCATATGGAGTGGTGCCCGTTACTGCTTATGCCGCTACATTTTCATGCCGCTATAAATTCTGGGTGGTTTTCAAGGTCAGCCCCATGTAAAGCGCATTGCAGTAATGCATTTGTGAAGGGACCGTGGCATGAGTGAATGTCTGAAGGGCCTCCTTATAGGATAGCAAGAAGCCAAAAGCCACTTTGACATCAAATATCGCTTTACAAATTTCTAGCATATACCAATTAATTAATTAACACCGACTGATACTAAAGACAAGAAAGTATGACTGAATATTCATATGGCAGCTGTTAATTGGAACAATAAACAAAAGACTATAAAACAGTGAAGATATATTTTATTGAGTTGTACTGGAAAGGACTTTTGATATTATGGACAAGATTACAATGGATAATTGCAATCTGTTTATCACCATGCAAATGACAAATCTCTGTAATGCCATGCTTTCTTTCACTTCAAATAATGGAATCCCCTGCCCCCAATTAATGAATTAACGTGAGGTTTCAGTCTATACAGGTAGCCCTCAACTTATCAGTGTCCACCTAACAATGGTTCAAAGCTACGATGGTCTTGAAAAAGTGACTTACAACCCATCCTCCAAGTTATGACTATTGTACCACCCCTGTGGTCACGCGGCTGCAATTTGGTGCTTGACAACTGGCTCAAATGTACAGCAATTGTAAGCATCTTCAATCATACGATTGTGAGTTGCAACAATCCCAGCTTGCTTCTGACAAGCAAAATCAATTGGGGAAACTGGATATGTTTAATGACCCAGTAAAAATAGTTGTAAAATCTGATCTGGTCACAGATGACTCGCTTATGGACCCCATTGCTTAGCAACTAAAAATTCTGGTCTCAACTGTGGTCGTAAGTCAATGAATATCTGTCATGCAAAACTCTCAATATTTAACTGCGCTTTCTGAAATCTGATTTGAAAGCAATGGCCCTGAGAGCTTTTACTGTGTCAAAACATGAATTGTGCTATTGATGTTGGAAATACATCACTAAAGTATGCAAATAGAGTCCCATGCTGATTAATGCTTGGGGCCTGGATCTGTTTGAGTCCAATTCAACTCCTCCCTTAACTTTCAAAGCTGACTTGGATCAGTCGCTACTGTTCAGCCAATCTCACAGAATTGTCTATGTGAGTAAAAATTGGAGGAAAGAAGCTATGACACGTAGAACTCCTGGATGAGAGATGTAATGCAATGAATGAATAAATAAATATGCAAGCAGGTGGAGTGTCAAATTGTCTACCAAAATAACAGAGTTGGCACTGCCCCATTTCCTTACTTAAAAGGAGATATCTCGGCCTCAAGTTCAAGGCATGCAACAGGAAGAGGTACGAAACAGAAACACTAAGTCCATGGTTGCAACCAAAGTTGCAGTGGCACCAATTGAAGTATTAACAGTCACCAGTGTTTCGGTAAAGTTTGCCACATCTTACCTAACTCTTGCTCGCCTGGTTGGTAACAGTATAGATCCTGACTATGGTTCCCCCATTCGTCCTGCGAATATTCCTCCATTGTGCTACCATCAGACTCCAGCTCTTGATACAAGCCACTGCTATTGATGAGCACCGGTTGGCAGAGTTGAGAATCCCATCCTCCTTGACCAAAGACCTGCTCCAACTGTTCAAATGTGTAACTGCTTTTTCTTTTGCCCACACCATGTTCCTTCACTCGGCTGTAACACCTGCGAAGGGTCTAAGACAGAAAACATGCCTGTTAGTTTATAAGTGGCCCGCCTTCTATACCCCTTGTGCCATTTTTATTCTTCTTTAACTTTGTTCTAAACTCTGCCACATTTATTAGATCCTTTTAACCAAACAGGATTTTACGAAGAAGTAAGTCTTAAAGCCAAGTTGAATCTTCACAGCCATTTAAACTTCACAGCAAAGAGCACTTGTATTTTTATATTTGCCACAAGAGGACATCACATTTAATAATAATGTTAATATATCAGCTTCATTTATTTGTCTTTTATTGCCAAAACTTTCCCTTCTTATCCCCAAGCTTGCTAGACTATGCAGAATTAAAAACCCCAGTGAGATACCAACAAGCCCGTAAGATACACACATTTACGAAGGGAAGAGAAAGAACAGCTACTGTGGTACCCATAGTTTGAAGCGTAAGGAAAAGTGAGGGGGAATGGGGAAAAGAGAGAGATAGGGAGAAAGAAAGTGAAAGAGAGAGAGAGAGAGAGAGAAAGAAGTCACCAAAAGCAGACAGCTGGATTGTTCCTTATTCCAAAAAGAAAACAATTAAGTTATTTTAAAAATGTTGGCCTAAACTCTTTAGCTAGTAAAATATATTACTTACATAGTTTGCATCCTTACTAACTCACTCTGTTTCTTGGGAAGCTGCTGAAATTTAAAAGAAGTGAAATCAATAATGCTCTGTATTCCCATGATCAAATATTAAACACACAATATACTAAGATGGTCAGGTCTAATAATAAAACATTAAACCCAACACTAGATTTTTAGGCATCTTTTATATCCTATCTCAACCAGATATTACCCACTTTCACTGCACCTTAAATCATTCACTTGTCAATAAGAAGCCAAATTACATATTAAGGCAAGTGTGAATAAAACACTGCTAAAAATGCTTCTTATCTAGATTTTCCTCTTTCTAACTCCACCCCACTTCTGTTTTTATGGGGAAATACTTAAATTATGTTTCTTAATGTAGTTTGCTGCAAAGGGTGGGGGTACAGATTAAAAATTGATTAAAATGGGCAAAGCTTTTCCAGTTCAAATTGTTAGGAGCTCAAGACACTTCCAAAATGGCTGAAATAATCAATTTTGAGAGCAAAGCAGCACCACTAAGATTGACCCATGCAACATAAACATGACACTTTATGGAGAATCCAATGCCTTGAGAATGGTGAGCCATTCACTGCGTACCAATGCTTTCTTTCCCTCTCATGCAATCCTGCCCAGATCTCCAAATTTATCCCAACTCTCAAAGGAGCAGATTATGAAGCAAAGAAAAGAAAACTGGCCTGTTTCCACTTACACTGATGGAACTATTTTAACGCGACTCTATCCCACCTGCCCTTCGATGAAGAACAAATATAATTCACTGATAGAAAGGGGATGACAATACCTCTGAAATGTTAAAAAAAAATAAAGTAGAATAAGAATAGTCTTGCTTTTCAGCACAGCTCTAAGAAAGTGAAGCCATCTGGTCATCTCAACACAGTGAAATCTAACTATTTCCAGAAAGCTTATATATTGAGAGTGGATTTCCCTTATGACTCTACTGCATCCTATCTCTTCACCATGCAGTCAGGTAAAAAGTTACTGTAATCAGCATTTTTTTTATTTTATTTTGGAATTCCCTGAAATATGAACGAAAGTCATCAAGAATGAAATTGCTTTCAAGATGCAGAAGAAGCAAAACACAAGTGGGGGTCATGATAGGAGTGAAATGAAGAGGATCGAAAATCATTTGCTTGTGTAAAGTAACTGTGTCTTACCACTCCCGTAGTATAGGTTCCTTCATCCTATTCCATCATAGGTATAATAAAGGACTTTGGAATGCTTGGCAAAGGGTTTCCAAGGTTATTGTTTACTTCTAATAAAATGAGCATAAAACTGGGAATGGAGAGATGCAAGGCGAACCCCATAGTAAATCACTAACCTTATGGGATAGATCTTGACTTTCAAAAGATTGTTGTCAATGCCTAAGTTTCTTAGACAGAGTTTGGGATTATGGTACGGATAGCAACTCATAAATAAATGGGATTTTCCCAATTTATTTTTAAACCCCAAAGATGGTTTAAAAACTTGCTTAACGACTTGCAGTGAGTCAATCTGAGAAGGATGGAAATATGACATGCCAAGTATTTGCTATCTCCCTCTGAAGTTAGTGCAGGCAAGGACATTGGCCCAAAAGCCTCCAGATACTTTTCAATCTTATGGAGTCCAATTAGTCTTTCAAATAGCCAATTCCTGATTTCTAGCATTTTTTCTAAAATTTACTTTACAGCTTCATGTCATTTTGCTGGTAGCACATAGGGTCTGATATGCATCTGTCTCTAAATCCTACTTAGCTTTAAGTATTACAATATTCTACCCTCTTTTCCTATTTAGAAAAAAAAACATTTTAAATAATTCTAAATATCTTTCAGAGAAATATGTACACATTTCTTACTCCTTAGGAAGTGAAGAAGTATACTATATCTCGAAAGAAAAAAAATAAACAAACACAGGTCAACTCTGGTTACAATTCAAGATGTTCTAAATAAAAATTGGCATATTGTTTGTCCCTTTCCCCACCAGACATTATGAATATATGTTTTTCTCTAAATTTGGGAGCAGGAAAGAGATAATAAATGCATCATCAATGTAAAATAGATTTTAAGTCATTGCTTATGTTTTGACATTTTTAGCAAGTTGCACAATCCATTTAGGACAAACAATTTGGCTTAGTCCTATAAAAAGGCAAAAAGAATGTTGCCTAGAGTCACATCACATAAATAAAACTGAATCTACTGAAATCTAGACACTTTTAGTGTGTGACAAAGCTGATCATCTAACCAAGGTGCAGTCTAAATCAGGTCACTAATAAAAGCTTCTAAAATTGTTTTTATTAAGAACCAAGCTAAAATAAACAGCCCCTCCCAGAAAGTTAACCAAGAAATCTTCACGTGCTAATAAGATCATCTGATAATTCCATCATCCACAGAACAGTTTGAAACTGCAAATTAAGCCCAACTGTTTAAGAGAGTCCCTTTTAGTGGCCTCTTTCAACATGACAGAAGCAACCTGGCCCAGCAGTAATCCTATCCAGTATTCAGAACAATTGTAAGAATCCAGATTTCAAATGAATTGCATAAACCTGCCTGCTGAGACACAGAGCAGGAGAGTAAGAGGCAAAGTGATAGAAAAACTCATGGATCTAGTTGTAACGCCATGAAAAAAAAACACATCTGCTGTGACAGCTTCATTTAGCAGAACAAATCATCCATACTGTTATTGCAAATGGACAAAGCTGTCAGGCAGTCACTGGTAGGAAAAAAAATGCCTTATTTTATTGTTTTACTTATTTTACAGTTAGTGTTCTTTATGATATACAATATCCAGCTTGCATTCTAACTTTATGCCGTAACATGGCTCGTTTCCCACCCACGCCCATTGGATTTTTGTACAGATGCATTCCAAGGCAGAAAGCAGAATTTACACTAGATAGGTATCTACATCATGCTAAGCTAAACAAATCTAAAATAAAAATAAACACAGCAACACTAACACAATGCTACAATGTCTTACTCGATGTTCAAGCGACATCCCACTTTACTTCCCAGAATTCAAGGAGCCATACGGGGGCATCCCTTCCTATACTTTTCCCCACAATAGCCGAGTGGGAAAATGAGTTGAAACTATAAGTTCCCCAACTTAACCTGGTGAGCTTCCACGGCTGAGAGATAACTCGGACCTCCCTAAAATTTCCTGAGGAAAATAGGCGCTGAATGATTCTGATGTAAAAATTAACTTCAGTTTAATTAGTTAAAGCGTAAACAGATATGCACTTACATACTGACATTTCAAATAGTTTTGCAGTAGTAGCAGTTCCTAAATCTATCAATGGAAAATAAATATCAGCAAGCACAAAGGTAAACATGCACAGCCAAAGGATCTGATCCCATTAAAAAGGATCCCATACAACACAATGGGAAAAGAGCTTAGTTATATGGGAGCAATCAACCCTGGCTGGTCTTCGGGAGAACAGATACCAAAGCTGAAACTCAAATATTTGGCTGCTTAATAAGAAGAGAGGAACTCACTGGAGAATATCCTGATGGCGGGAAAGATGGAAAGCAAAAAAAAAAGAAGGGGAGGGCAGAGGATGAGAACGTTAGATAGTTGTCATCAATGCAATAAACATAAATTTGGGCAAACTTTGGGAGAGAGTGGAGGACAAAAGGCGTGGTGAGCTGTGGTCCATGAGGTTGCAAAGAGTTTGACACAACTTTAGAGACTGAACAATTACAATATAGGACACGGGTGTCAAATTTGCGGTGTCACATTGCCGTCATTGCCCATGGGCCACCAGTTTGACATCGATATAGGAGGCTGGAAATTGGAAGAAATCTATGCTGAGAGGCAAGAAGCTTGGATATGTTATTTACGCAAGAGTGCAATTATGATGGGATCTAACACTTTTAGAGGGTGAATCTTCATGATCTCTAAAGCACATCTAGTAGATAAAACAGATTCTGAGAAATTATCTGTGTACCTAAGCAACTGCTGGCTTTAAAAAAATAAGATTGCTTTAGTTCTCCTACAGAATGAAGGAAAAGCAAACTGTGTACATTAAATACATGGTTGATTCTAAAAAATGCCATTATACATTATATGTGCCACCTTGTCAAACAACCTAATTTCACATTTGTCGTTTTCAACACAAGGCCTGCTTTATTTGTGCTGAATATTTAATACATAATGTATGCAAAATTTCTCAGAATGCAAAATTTCATTAGATGCTGAATTTAAAAATAACAATGCTTGTGGACTTCATTAGAAATACATTACATTACATACTGTACAGTACACACAAATTTAACTGCTGATGTGATTTCTGTGAAGCCTGGATCACCACAATGTCATTATTAACATATTGTAGCTTTTTAAAATATGGAACTGGATGAAACGTTGAGTTTAAATACTTAAAAATAAAAGTCATTTTTTTGTT